TTTGGGTTCCCCCTCCTTGTGCAGAGTGCTATAAACTTCCCCAGACACTAAGTGCATTTGTTTTCTATTCTTAGGAATAACTGTCCCTTTTTTCTGGCGTCCAGTGTTCATATAAAGCTATGATGACCAGGTCTGGGATTATGGAAGGCCACTCTAAAAGTCTGTCCACGATAGTGGATTCAAGGAAGGCTTGTTAGAAAATGTGGGATTTGAGCAATAGTTTGTATAGTATTAGAAAAGAAGGTAGAGGTAAAGTCATGAGCTTGTGCTGACTCTTCTGCCTAGGATACGCTTCCTTCTTCTCTGCTTGGTGGCACCCCGCTTATTTTTCCAAGGTGCTCTAGTCCCATTGTTACCTGCAAAGCTGCCTTTGAACCCAGGTAAAATGAGTAGTTCTTGTTCTGTATATTATGTTTATACCTTGTATCCCTTTTTACCTTGTATCATGGCTATGATCTGGTTGTGTCTGTCAGCTGGGACAAGTCTAGCTGGTCACAACATGGTTCTGAAAAAGCCTACGAGTTTTAGCTTCATTAAAGACCTTCCTCGGGCTTCCCTGGTGGCGCAGTGGTTGAGAGTCCGCCTGCCGATGCAGGGGACACGGGTTCGTGCCCCGGTCTGGGAAGATCCCACATGCCGCGGAGTGGCTAGGCGCGTGAGCCGTGGCTGCTGAGCCTGCGGTCCAGAGCCTGTGCTCCGCAACGGGAGAGGCCACAACAGTGAGAGGCCCGCGTACCGCAAAAAAAAAAAAAGACCTTCCTCAAAAATTCTACATATACCAATTACTGGCTGGGAATTCAGCAAATTATTTTTAAAACTTTGAGTATCAGTTTCTTTATCTGTAAAATAGAGGTAGAAATATTTACTATGCAGCGTTATTGTAATTTGTGTACAGTGTCTAGCAAATTGCCTGGCTCCTAGTAGGTGTTCTCTAAATGCTAGTTCCTCCTTTTATTTATCTTTTGTCTTCAGCACTCATTTCAGTGCAGACGAATAATAGGAATTCATGAATGTATGTTGAATTGAATATAAAATTGTAATATACCATCAAATGGGAACATTTAATTAGCTGTATTATCTATACATCTAGTAAAATACTGTTTGAACTCCAGTTAGATTTTTAAAAAGAAGCTAAGTAGCTCTTCCTGCTTACGTGGCCTAAAGGCGCCATTTTCTTTTAATCTGTACTAAAATAAGAATCTCCTGGAAAGGTAAATCAGATTGGTTCCATAGAGCCGTATAGTTATTTTGTGTTAATTTATAGGAAAACTCCTTTTAATTTCCTATCTTAAAAGTTTCTTACTCTAAATCCATATGTACTTATATAACTAAGTGGACATCCTGGTCGTTTTGACACTGGGTTTTTAAGGAAAAGATCTGCATATCCATGTGCATCTCCAAAGTATTTATGTAGATCCTTGTAATTACTTTATAAATCCTCTTTGCATGCACTTCATCTGTAAGTCTTATTACACTTATTCACTGTGGAGAATGTAGAGGTCCTTATACCATTCTCAAAAAATGAACGTCCTGGGACTTCCCTGGTGGCGCAGTGGTTAAGCATCTGCCTGCCAATGCAGGGGACGTGGGTCCGATTCCTGGTCCGGGAAGATTCCACATGCCACGGAGCAACTAAGCCCGTGCACCACAACTACTGAGCCTGCGCTCTAGAGCCTGCGAGCCACAACTACTGAAGCCCGCGCTCCACAACCACTGAAGCCTGCGCGCCTAGAGCCTGTGCTCTGCACGCAACAAGAGAAGCCACTGCAATGAGAAGCCTGTGCACTGCAACAAAGAGTAGCCCCCGCTCGCCGCAACTAGAGAAAGCCCGCCACGGCAACAAAGACCCAACACAGCCAAAAATAAATGAATAAAAAATAAAATAAATTTATAAAAAAAAGAATGTCCCATAATTCCAGTACTCTGTCTTATATGGCCAAGTGCTCATTTACCTCTGTTTAGAGATCAGTAAAAAATGATAGGCAAGAACTTCTGTTGAATTTTAAAATAATATTTAGTAAATAATGACAAATGTTGATATAAATGTAGTATAAAATCTTCATGTCTAAGAAAAATAATATTAAACAACTAATATTAAAAATTTTGGTAGCTAAATAACATTTCAGGAGATGGATCTATTGTACTGATAATTTGCATAATATTTGAATTGCAAAAAACTCTTCAATTTAATGAGTACAGTCCTTTTTCACTTAAGTGTCCTGTAAAAACCTAAAGGTTTTCCAACCAAATGAATTCTGTTTAGAATTTTGTTCAGAAAATACTTCCCAGAGCATAAAGTTTGAATTATATATCCTTGTAAAGGCTGATTTTTTTTTTGAAGTTAACCCTTTAAAAATTAAATCTCAAAGACTTAAAGGCATTGTTATTCTACTTTAATTTTGCTAAGTGGAAATCTTTTAATCAAGAATATTACAAGTGGGCCTTTACATTTCTCATTGTCATTAACCTACTGAACGGTTCATGCCTGTTAAGCTACATGTCAGGGCCTGCCTTATATGTCCATAAAAAAAGATATTCCGTGAGTAAGACCAAAATGTTACCTTAACATAAACTTTCATTACTGTAATATTTTAGTTTTAATTCTGTAACATTTCGTTTTTTGACATTCACTAGTGTTGTGTATGTTTCTCTAATAAATTTTCAAAGAGCTTATTGAGGCATAATTGGCATACAATAAATAGCACATATTTAAAGGATACAATTTTTAAAATACTGACGTACGTATACATCTGTGAAATCACCACCCCAACAATATAACATTTCCATCACACCCCAAATTTCCTCCTCCCCTTTTTCATCTCTCCCTGCCATCCCTGTCCCAATCCCTCCCTTTCCCAGGCAACTGATTTCTTCAGATTATTATAGATTAGTTGGCTTTTCCTACAGTTTTATATATATGGAATCACACAGTATGGTACTCTTTTTTTTGAGGAGTAGGAGGGTTTTGCCTCTTTTACCCCATATAATTATTTTGGGATTCATCTATTTTTTTGTGTGTATGAATAGTTTATCTTTTTTATTGCTGAGTAGTATTTCGTTTTACAGCTATGCCACAGTTTATCCATTCATCTAATGATGGACATTTGGATTGCTTCTAGTTTTTGGCTGTTACAGATAAAGCTACAATTTTAGCTATTATGATAAAGCTGCTATAAACATCAAGTGTATTTAAAAAATTATTTTATTTTTGATTTTTACCACTTACTGGCAATCATGGCTGTCAACTCTTATCGTATAGCAATGTGTTTATGCACCTTCCCCAGCAACTTTGTAATTAGGGAAGACTATGAAAATACCTAACTTTAAACCCATTTCCTGCATTTTACCCATTTTACTCATTCGAGGTATTGATTATAGGAAAAAAAGATCTCATTTTGAAGAGATCCTGGTTAGCATTATCTTACCTTTTATAATATCTGGCTAGCATTATCCCACCTTTTATAATATCACTAAATAAAAATTTTAAGTGTAACTGAATTTAAAGCCTGTAGTCCTTAATTAACCAAAGAGCTTATGCAAATACTTTCTTCACTATAATGTTATGATGAATATTTTTCTAAAGAGAATAAATGTTTCCTAATGACCATATTTTATTTCCATAAGTAAATGTGGCAGTTGAAATCTTAGTTATCAAATTTTCTTTAAACAAGGAAATATAGAAAGGATCCCTTAATGCAATACTTAAAAAGAAAAATTGAGACACAAACTAACTTGTGATTTTTATAATTTGGAAAACTTTTTACTGTTCTCATTTTTATACTTTTTTATTTTTTAAATCTCATTACTTTATAGAGTTGACTTTTTAAAGGAATATTTTATTTATTTATTTATTTAGGCTGTGCCGCATGGCTTGTGAGATCTTAGTTCCCCGACCAGGGATTGAACCTGGGCCTTTGGCAGTGAGAGCGTAGAGTCCTAAACTGCTGAACTGCCAGGGAATTCCTTAAAAGGAATGTTTTATATGCAATAAAAATTCAACCTCCTGAAAAGAATATTCCAAGTCTCCATTATTAACAAAAAGTATGCAAAGCTTAAAATTTGTTTCGCCTTTCCATTTATTTATTCTTAACAATATGTGTGTTTATGTGTGTGTATATGCGTATGAATATACATACACCATGGCACATATACATATATATAAAAAACACTATTATAAGGCAACAAAAACTACCTGTTTATGATATATAATTACATTAACTTCACAGTCTATTAAGAAGGAAATTTTAATTTTTAGGTAGTTTCTTGGAAAGTGGCCTTAATATTATTTACTTTAATGGAAATATATCAACTTGATATAAATGCATGCACAGTTCTGTCTGTTGATGTGTTTTCTTAAATGGCAAACTGTGTTACACAGTATTCTGTACTGAGAACTTTTATTATAGATGAGAAAAGGAAACGATAATTTGTTTCCCAGTAGAATCTGTATGTTCAAATATTAAATACTTTTAAATAGATCTTTTTATGTTGAATTTTTGATTTAGGATCATTCGTGATATCTTCCAAATTCTTTTCTTGCTTTTTATTATAGTTTTTTTTTTGTGGTACGCGGGCCTCTCACTGTTGTGGCCTCTCCCGTTGCGGAGCACAGGCTCCGGACGCACAGGCTCAGCGGCCATGGCTCACGGGCCCAGCTGCTCCGTGGCATGTGGGATCTTCCTGGACCGGGGCACGAACCCGTGTCCCCTGCATCGGCAGGCGGACTCTCAACCACTGCGCCACCAGCGAAGCCCTTTATTATACTTTAAAGCTAATTTGACTGAATTTTGATATTCTTTCTGTGATTGTTAATTTTTTCTGTTATTAAGAATGTAATAAATTTTGTATGGTACCAGAACAGAGATCAATTTTGGTTATGTTTCTTCTCTTTTGCTTCTTCATCTTTTTCATCAGTAGAAAGCTTTTTTTGCCAGGCTAAAATATAAGCTAACATTATGATTTGGGTGAAGTGAAAAGCTAATACTAATTTTTTCTTTCAGATCTCTATAAAAATGGACTCCAAAGAGCTAACTTTGTACCATTCATAGCTGTCCTGAAGGTAAGGAAAATTAGTTACTTATGTTCACTGACTAATATCATATTGATTGATAATCAAGGGCTTTTATAGGATTGCTCTGGTCTTGCATTCAAGCAGAATTTATCTTGTTATTTGATGACAATGGTTAAAGACTCTGAAGGAGAAAAGAATCTTTTTTATATAGTATTCATCAATATGTACACAGGAAAAATTACAAAATATAGTCTAAATTATTGTCCAGCTGCAGCATTTGATAGTTTGCATTTTATAAATTTTAATTTGAGGTTTGCTTGTAAATTATAGTGGAACGTTTCAACTTATACATTGATTTCTGAAAAAATGTTTAATGTTCCTTGTTTCCTTCAGGTTAATGGCCATTAACATGTTTTCCCAGCTATTAAAGTTGCTATTTTGGAGTAGCATTATTACAAAAATATTGTAATCTATTTAAATGTGATTGCCATCAAGTTATCATGAAATTATGTCAAGTTGAGGTACATAAATAGTTTAAATATTTGTGTGTATCATCACTGCATAGAGTTTAAAATGGGCTTCATTACAATATGATGAAGAATAAAGTAGCCTTCTTTTTCACGGTTAATTTTAGTAATTTTTTACATGATTATTCAATAATTCTACATTCTAACAATATTTATTGGGAACCTACTATGTGCAAAGTGCTACATTAGGCATAATGGATAATATAATCATTAAGTAGGTTGTGTTTCTTGCTTGCAAGTCATTTATAATCTGGTTGGGCATATACTATGTACATAGATACCTATAACACAAAGCAAAATGTTTTTGGTAAAATAATTACCAAAAAGAAGCATATATGCCAAAATATACTTCCTGTAATTCTCAGGCACATTTTTCCCTGTCCATAACAGTATATCTAAAGAAAGGTTAGAATTGTATTTTTTTTTAAAAAGACCTAAAACCTCAAAAATTCTTACCAAGAAGGAGGAGTAAAAACATTTTATATTCACATATTCTGAAGATGTAGTCAGACAATCTTTTTGAAATATACTTTAGTTGGAGCTATTGTTAGTGCCAAACTTTATTCCCTGTGCTATCCAAACATCTGTTTCCTTGACCAATTTTAGGTTCCCAGAAGATTTTAGTTTCTCTGAGATGGTTTCAGATGTAGGAAAAAGTACTTTTTGAAGATTTATGCTGTTAGTAATTTTTTCCCCTTTGTATTCATGTTTTACATTTGAGGAGAAGGTAGATTTGCAATGTTTTCTCCACGCCAGGAATCCAAAGTAATGTGGTGTATGTAGATACCAAAATATAAACAGGGAAGCTAAGAAAAATAGATGCTAAAAATAGTCTTCATGTAGCATAAAATACACAAAATATAAAGAGATGGCTCACAAATGAAACAAGCTAAAAGATTCTCAGGGAACTTTGTAGCTCTACTTTTTTAACCCCAAACCTTATTTTTTGGTCAGTTATTTGTCATACTTTAACATATAATAGCATTACTAATAGATAACTAAATTGACCAGATTGAATTTAATTTCCTTTCCCTTTCCCACCCTTAATTTTTTTTTGAAGAGGAAGAAAAACCAAAGAGATGAATAATCTGATTTGAGATCCAACAAGATCTGAGATAATACACAATTTTTTTTTTTTTTTTTTTTTTGCGGTACACGGGCCTCTCACTGTTGTGGCCTCTCCTGTCTCAGAGCACAGGCTCTGGACGCGCAGGCTCAGCGGCCGTGGCTCATGGGCCCAGCCGCTCCGCGGCATGTGGGATCTTCCCGGACCGGGGGCACGAGCCTGTGTCCCCTGCATCGGCAGGCGGACTCTCAACCACTGCACCACCAGGGAAGCCTGATAATACACAATTTGAAATTAGATATGAACTGAAATTTCCAGGAAACTAAATACCAGATTGGATGAGAAAATATCTAAAATGTCTCATTTATTTAAAAGACTTTTCACATGTAGCAAAACATCAGTCTGATGAAATGTACACTAGAGCTGGTTTCCCTGGAGCTTTTTTGGTGGGCGTATGAAGTTTCCCTTGTAAAGCAAAGTTGTTTCATATTCATTTTACCTATTCACACATGCTAGCGTTACTCTTTCATTTTGACCCAGCTGAGAGACGTGTATAGTAGAAGTGGAAATACTAAATATCAAAACTTTGTTTTAAGATAGACTTAAAACAAAGAGGATCTTAATTTAATAAAAAGAGATTATAAACAAGATAGAAATTTATTTTGGGGAAAAGTACAGTGTAAAATCCTTTTTCTCCCTTACGTTTTTCTCTGTAAACTGAGTGATAACAAGTTTGTAATTCACCACAAGAATTTGTGATTTGTTGCTTGGAGTATTGCAAAATGACCAAAAACTTATGTAAGCTATTAGTGAACAGTATTTTCATAAGATAGTAAGAATGATGAGGAGGACTAATATGTTATTAAAAGCCATAGGTCTGGGACTTCCCTGGTGGTGCAGTGGTTAACAGTCCGCCTTCCAATGCAGGGGACACAGGTTCAATCCCTGGTCGGGGAACTAAGATCCCACATGCTGCGGGGCAACTGAGCCCGCACGCTTTAGAGCCCAGGGGCCACAACTAGAGAGAAGCCTGCGTGCCACAATGAAGATCCCGCATGCTGCAACTAAGACCCGATGCAGCCAAATAAATAAATAAATATTAAAAATAATACAAGCCATAGGTCCATCAACAGATGAATAAACAAAATATAATATATTCATATAATGAAATATTGTTCTGCCATAAAAAGGAGTGAAATTCTGATGTGATACATTATGGGTAAACCTTGAAAACATGTTAGGTGAGGTAAGCCAGATACAAAAGGACAAATATTATATGATTCCACTTACATGAGGTACCTAGGAAAGGCAAATTGATAGAGACAGAAAGTAAAATAGAGGTTACCAGGGGCTGGGAGGAAAGGGGAATAGGGAGTTATTGTTTTGTGGGTGCAGAGTCTCTGTTTAGGATGATGAAAAGTTCTGGAAATGGATAATGGTGATGGTTGCATAACATTGTGAATGTACTTAATGCCATTGAATTATACACTTAAAAATGGTTAAAATGATAAATTTTATGTTATGTGTATTTTACCACAATTTATAAAACAAGAAAAGAAGCCATAGGACTAGAACGGCTATAGGAAACGATCAGGTATATCCTCTAGAAACCGCTTGTAAAAAGCAAAGGAAAACAAAACAAAACAGAAAACTCTTACATGTATTTTTTACTGCCTTTTAAGTAGGGAGTTTCCTGTTTTTTTCTTGTACTTTCTTTGAGTTTATTTTGCTGTTCTTTTTTAAAATTTACTGAGATTAATTTTTATCTCACTTTAACCTTCTTTCTTAAATGCATTTAAGGCTATTTATTTCCCTCTGAATAGCTGCATCCATGAAGTTTTGATATTTAGTATTTCCACTCTCAAGTTCAAGGTGTTTTCTAATTTCCATTGTGATTTCTTCTTTAACCCATGAATTATCTAGAAGTCTATTTCTTAATTTCCAAACATGAGAATTTTCTAGTTATCCTTTTGTTACTGTTTTCTTAATAAATGCTTAATTGCGTTGTGGTCAGAGAATGTGCCCTTTGTGACTTCAGTTCTTTCAAATTTGTTGAAACTTGCTTTATGGCCCAATATGTGGATAACTTTTGTAAATATTCTCAACATTCTTGAAAATAAGTACTCTCCAGTTATTGTGTGATACATATAATACCCATTAAGTTATCAATAGTTTTGTTAATTATGCTGTTCAAATCTTTATTCTTATATATTTTTCACATCAGTTATTGAGAGGCTTATGGAAAACATCTCCCACTATGACTGTGAATTTATCCATTTCTCTTATAATTCTGTCATTGACCTTACATATTTGGAGACTGTTGTAAGTTGCATACAGATTTAAAATGATTCAATATTGCCTCTGAATGGAACTTATAAAAGTTATTTTTTATCATGAAGGAGTAATTCTCCTTGTTTCAAGCATAGTCATTATTTCCTGATGAAGCATTTTTATCACATCTGCTTTCAAATCTTTTTTTTTTTTTTATAACTTTATTTATTTATTTATTTAGGCTGCGTTGGGTCTTTGTTGCTGTGCATGGGCTTCCTCTAGTTGCGGTGAGCAGGGGCTACTCTTTTGTTGCGGTGCGTGGGCTTCTCATTGCAGTGGCTTCTCTTGTTGCGGAGCATGGGCTCTAGGCACACGGGCTTCAGTAGCTGTGGCACGTGGGGTCAGTAGTTGTGGCTCGCAGGCCCTAGAGCTCAGGCTCAGTAGTTGTGGCGCATGGGCTTAGTTGCTCCGTGGCACGTGGGATCTTCCCAGACCAGGGCTTGAACCCGTGTCCCCTGCATTGGCAGGCAGATTCTTAACCACTGCGCCACCAGGGAAACCCTGCTTTCAGATGTTTATCAGATAATTCTAACATCTCTGTCATCTTGATGTTGGCGTTTGATTGTCTTTTTATATTCTGTTTGAGGTCTTTGTGGTTTTTGGTATGAGTGATTTTCAACTGAAACTTGGACGATTTAATAATTTGTCATGAGACTTTGAATCTTATATTTGTTAATTGATATTTTATTGTGGTAAAATATGCATAACATAAGATTTACCACTTTAACCATTTTAAATGTACAGCTCAGTGGCATTAAGTACATTCACATTGTTGATCAACCATCACCACCATGCATCTCTGGAACTTTTACATCTTCCCAAACTGAAACCCTGTACTCTTTAAATAATCACTCCCTTTTCTTCCCCTCCCCCAGATCCTGGTAACCACCTTTCTACTTTCTGTCCCTGTGAATTTGTCATTTCCAGGTACCTTATATAAGTAGAATCATATAATATTTGTCCTTCTTTGTCTGGCCTATTTCATTTAGCATAATGACTTCAAGATTCATTCATCCATGCTGTAGCAAGAGTTAAAATTCCATTCCCTTTTAAGGCTAATATTCCATTATATGTTTATACCAATTTTGTTTATCCGTTCATCTGTTGGCCACGTGCTCTAGAGC